CCAGGGACCTGCCAGCCCCTCCTGCCCTGGGAATCTGGGGCTGAAAACCAGGCATCTACAACCACATACAGGACTCCAGGGATCAACGCAGTGTGTCCAACCACCATCCTGCCAAAGATTCCCACCAGGAATCAGTAACTCACAGCTCTTCTCTGAACCTTCTCTGATTTCTCAGTATTTTTGAAGTGCTGGCCCTGGAGCAGGATGCCCAGAGACAGAGAATCCAGAGTTGCAGCCACTGAGCACCTGCCCCCAGGTTCACCTGCACAGTGAAAACCAAGAACTCAATAAATATTTCTGCTCTGTATTTGAAACAAGAGATAATATTCCTGTTTTACAGAGGTAATGAAGTGCTTTCTATTATTAATTAAGGAAGATACTAAAGAGAAACTGTTTAAGTAACAATTTTTATAATCTGCAGGAGGATAAGTTACATCCAAGAGCACTTTGTTGGCTAAGGAGTTCACTGAACCATTGATGTTTTTCTTTTTAACAAATTATGGCACACTGGGGAACTTAAGGTAACTGGGGAAACTAAAAGTGCAATGTCTTGGCAGTATTTAAATGTGTCCACATGGGTATCCAAGAAACTACAAAGCAGTTAAACATACATCCCAAGCAACCACAGACAAGCAGCCAAAGGATGTCCTGGGTGAATTGCTAAAAGCTAGAAAGCAAATGAATGTAAATAAAATTAATGTAATTTGAAAGAGGTATTTTCAAATAATTTTATGTAATTTTTGGTAAGCCTGCAAGTTTGATAGAGCTAACTAGATGGATATGGCAAACTTAGAGTCCTGTAAGTCATTTGACTTTAGTTCTGCATGACATCCTAATAAGAACAAGTAGCTGTATGCTACAGTCAGGGTGATCAGTATTAACAGATTTGAAAGAATGGGGTAACTGAGAAGACTTATTCTATATAGCCACTTGTCAGATGCATTTCTAGTTGTATTCTATGCCCATGTCAATGCTACATGTTATTAGCAATCAGAGAGACAATAAAAAAAATATTGCTGGCAAAATTGTTGGGGTGGATAAAAATGAATTGTTGGGATGGTAAAGGTAACAGATGGCACTTGCCCAAGACAACTTAATCTGGATGGCTTGAACCACCTGTTTCATGGAATACCTGGTTTCTTACATCTAAGTGTAAGGTGCAACATACAGGAAAAAAGAATGTGGGCTTCATTTTAACACACAGACAACATCCTGGATAGCAACGTGTCTGAATGAAAATGAAAACATTTAGAGGCTGAGACACATGACATCTGAACACAAACTGCAGAACAGGAGGGCACTGCTGCCAATGGCAGCCTCCTCCTGGGCTGTGGGAATATTCAAGTAATGGCAAATATGAACCTGAGGTTCTTGAGGCATTTGTGCAGCTCTCACATCCACACAGCTAAGAATAACTCTTGCACAATCACAGTGCAACCACATTTTGAATGTTGTGCACAGCTGTACAGCTCAATGCAGGGAATGGCACAGCTGAATAGAATTCCAGCCTGAGTAAGGAGAGGAATGACAAGGATCTATGTGGTTTGGAAGAATATGATGAGGAGGAACAGACATATTGTCCACATATTCTTAGAATACAAGAGTTAAAGGTCATCAAATGAAACAAGCAGGTGACAGCTTAAAGGCAAATAAAAGGAGGTGATCTGTGCAATGTGCCACAAGGATATCAGAATGCTCAAACATACACAGATCCAAAAAGTGACTGGTCAGATTTAGGGTGGAGAAGTATCTAAGACTTGTATATACAAAGATGCCCTTTTGACTCAAAAGTACCTGAAATGCAATTTACAGAGCTCAGAGATGGGGATGGACATCCTAGGGGAGGGCTTCTCTGTACTTGCTTTGTCCTTATACAGGTGCCATTGTGGTTTACTAGTGCACCCATCAGGGCAGGTGAGGAACCCATCACTCTTCACTGAGGAACAGGAAAGAACAAGCGTGAGTTGAGCAGGTGTTGGAGGCTGGGGACCCTTTTGGGGGGACACTGATGCAGGTACTCATCCAGTCAAGAGAAGGGGCAGGAGAAACAGGATTTGGCTGCACAGAGAGGGCCAGAGTTACACCCAGTGGCTGCAACTGGGATGGAACCTTATGTCAAGAAGTTTTGTTTCCTGAGCACCTCACTGAGAACGTGGCACTGGGCTTGGTTTACTCTGGCAGTCATGGGGGTGACTCCTGGTGGCTCTGCCCAAAAACCCAGGTGGATGCTGAAGCAGGAACAGCAGCGTGTGCCAAAGAGACATTCACAGTGAACCTGGGACTTGGTGTCACTCAGCAGCTGCCCATGCTTATTGGTAAAAACACATGAGAACCACATGCCCCTGAGCTAATATTGTCACATGCTTGTTGTCCTCTGTTGAGACCAGAGCCCTCACACGCAGGATAGATAAATTTCCCCTGCATAACTCCTGTCCCAGAAGTACATTCAATGCTGCATTAGAAATTTCCTCTTTAGAAACCTGAGAAAATTTACCACAGTCTGTTATATTGCCAGCATGTGCCCTGGACAAACATTTTTAATTCTGTTTTAAATGTGTTGGTTTTTTTTAAAATCAATTGCTAATCAACTAGCATAACTGAGTTAAACTCAGAGCATTTGTTCTCAGCCTGTGCTTAGCTTGAACTTTTCTGATTGTTTCCATTCTGAAAAAGGGCTCGAGTGCTCAAAAGCTTTCCTGGTGGGTTTTTTAGTTTGTTTGTTTTTTTCCCCAGTTAAATCAGTCAGTCTATAAAAGATACTTCCTATTTCCTACTAGCCTCTCATTCCAAGAATATAGTTCCTCCTTGCAAACAATAAAATCATGCCCTTTTAATTTCAGC